TATAAAGTTATAACACATTAAAATAATAAAATAGATGAACAATATTACACAACAAAGCAAATAAAAAAACATGATTCTTTTGCAAACAGACTAAATTAATGAATACTAACACCCAAGATTGGCACCGGAGGCCTGATCCATACTCTCCTGTTGAGAACTATTAAATAAAAGACCTTCTCCATGGAGATATTCACATATGGCCTGCCCTTTATTGACTTTTGGAAGAGTCCTATAACCCTTTATATTCCAATCAGACAAAGAAAATGATGAAGAGATAGAAGGGATGGCAGAGAACGGGATCACAAGCAGAAAATATGTGAAATAACTGCCAGCACACGTTGCCTCAGATACATTATCCTCAAAGAAATGCATTACAAATTTTCCCAAGTTAAAAAAAAATCATACTTGAATTATCCTAGATAAATTATTTTCATAATGCCCAAATATGTGATAGAATGGTTAAGATGTTGGACCTGAACCACAGAAAACTAGCTGCAAGTACATCCTCTGCCACAGACACTTGCTAGGTGGTTGTGGCCTTTCCCCCCCATAAAAACTCTGAGAATTGGGCTGAGAGATTTTCTTGGCAATCCTCTATGCACTTGCTTTTTAACAAGAGGCTTTTTCTGGTGTGTCACTCTACATGGACTAGGATGCCCTGCCCATATTCATGCCTTGATCACCACCCAGTGCAGCACATTTTATGTAGGTATGCCTTTGGAGATACCCCAGAAGCTACAGCTGGTACAAAGTGTGGTGGTGAGATTACTAATAGGACAACCCACCAGTGTAAAATAGCACCTACACTAAAGTTGCTGTACTGGTTGAATTAGGCCTGAAAGCTACTGGCAAAGTGTTGGTCATTTAAAGCCCTATAAAGACTATATGCCTGAAACTCCCTACATAGCTATCATAAGAAAACAACTGCAAAATTTCAATCAACTTTGTTAAATCTGAAAAATCTCTAGGATAGGAATGAAATGCAAGGCAAAATTAGACAACATATAAGAATGTTTGTCTAGCTTAAGAACCAAGTTTAGAGATCTGGAATTCTCTAGGTTTAACCATCTAACTATCAAATTAAATCTGAGTTGGCCCAGCCAATGGCTATATCAATATGGTTACCAAATGATATGTTGTGACCCCAGAAAACCATTTTCTGAAACAATTCTGTTGCAAGACTCAGAAAGTTAGGAACTATGAATATTACTATAGTGTCAATGTATAAAATAATATTTCATTCACAATCACCACACAAAGCAAAATATACTTGTGCATTAAAATAACAAGTGAAATCCAACTAAATAATGCTCAGAATGTAGACAAAACTTTAGGACAAGTGAGTTATGGCATCAGTTGAACATATTCTTGACATGGATTTCAGATGCATTTTACAACATACATAAATATTCTCTCTGGTGGCTCTTCAATCCTAAACATAAATTGGGATGGTAAAAAAATACGCTGTTGTATGTTAATATAATAGTTGCTGTATTCTTTGAATAGCAGTCGTATAAACAAACCCACTATAGTCCATCCCAAGCATCTTGATAGGCTGAGTTACAAATCTTCTGTTCCCTGCCTCTTCTGTTTTGGAAGACAGTCATAGACAGGGAATGAAAGAGGGCCAATGCTACAGAGCACCTACCTTATTTTTTCATCAATAAGACAACCCCCACTTTTCCAACCCAAAATTAAGAAATCAATATTTTAAAGATAGTGCAGAACACATTTTTA